CGCTTGTTATCATGAATGAGGCTCTTTAGCTAATTTCTTCTCAAAAGAAAATTGATAACTCAATTATCAGAAATCTGATAACTCAGGCAAGTAGATATGATCAGCTCCATTTTTTCCTATGAGAAAATTAAGATTCATGAAGTATGTCAAATGCACGCTACAGCTGAAGATCAAACCCAGACCTTTCTGCAGTCTCATAGTTATTTAGGAGGCGAGTTAGTTATGAACTATCTAGCCTGCTACATACTGCCTTCCTCAATATTTCCCTTGGCCAAGAGTTCTAATTAAATCGCATACCTGGAGGCCGTTTTTTTTTCTTGGCCAAAGGAAATCATACTATCAGATTGTGTGTGTATAAATATATTTGCTATTTTTTCAAGCCCTTAATTCTCTGTTGCCTAAATTAACATGACTCTAATATAAATACTGTAATTCTAAATATAATACTGTTGTTATGTGAGAGCAATCTTGGAGTGGTTAATGTGAAAGTCAGCAATCATAGAGAGGGAGCTGACTTTCACAGTTATGCTGGTTACTGGGTAGGTCAAGCCTAGCTGTGTACTTGCCCGTGGCCTTCTGTAGCACCTGCTCATATCTGCCACCAGGAGGCAGCGCATATATGGCGGTAGCCCTTAGCCTTTTTAATAAGCAAATGTACAGATTATTTTCAGCTTTCTAAAGAAAGCAGTGTTTTAGGAAGCGTGAGGGCTGTAAACCATATAACATAAGCTCTAGAATCAATGACTATTTAACACAAAATTGACATGTTACTTACTTTTTTCTACCCTAGTATATACTGTGTCAAAGATTAGACATATTGGTTCAAATTTTGATGAAAAGACCCAGGAAAAAAGGCAGTGACAACAAAACTCGAGACAAGTTTTTGACTTGACTGAAGCTGCTTGGTACCACTCAGTCCTGAACCCTAAAGATTTCCTTTCTGTCCTATACTGTCTTCTTATTTCTTCGTATGACACCAGGTACCCCAACTGTCACTTCTGATTTAAAAATTAGTCTTTATCTTTAATAGTAATAGTTACTTAAAAAAACATGGGAAGTGACTGAAATCGTTTTCTCATTTATAAAAATAAAAGATATAATGATATCTGTTTCACAAAGGCAAATGTAGAATGATGGATGTAAATGTGGTTTGTAAAACATAAAGGAGACTATAGTTTCCATTTATACAGAAATGTGTTAAATATGGGGATTATTATAACTACTTCTCAAGCTCATAGAAAATCTGAGAAAACTATTAAAATAGTAACACTCCCAGGCTTCTTCACAAATATTTGGTATGTAATGTTATACATAAATAACGATAACTCATTTGGTTTCTATTTTTGTTCAGTTCAAAGAGGCATTACCTTTTACAGTTGGATTAAAAATTGCTTTTGAAAATGATCAGCCAGGCATGGCGGCACATGCCTTTAATCCCAGCACTTGGGAGGCAGAGACAGGAGGATTGCTGTGAATTCGAGACCAGCCCGGGCTACATAGTGAGTTCCAGGTCAGTCTCAACTATGTAGTGAGACCCTGTCTCAAACAACCAAAAAAAAGAAAAGAAAGAAAAAAAGAAAAAAATGATCAGACTGGGAAATAAGCATTGATTTTATAGAACACATTCCTAGACACACTAATAATAGTATTCTTAGGATGTCATATCCTGAGATATTGAACTTTTGTAACTCAGTGTTCCATGGATTTACTGAAGGTAGTCTCAGCAGGTTCAGGATGGAAAGAGAATTTAGAGTTGAGTTGGTTGTAAAAATACAAGACCAGCTGTTTATAGTGAAGGGATAGGGACAGGGAGAGTTGTTAATACTGAGAACAATTAGCAAAGGAAACTTTCAAAACTTTCAGTTTGTAGATGAGAAAGGATAAAATAGGTGGGATTTTTAAGAAGCTTTTACATTCTGTCTTCCATAAAATAAGCTATATTAATGTTCTTTTACAGTACTCTGATTTCCTAATCATCACTATTTAATAAATAGTGCAATATTCTGTATCAGGACTACTTCTTCAAAGCATTATAAAATACCATTAGTCATCTTTTCAAATTTATAGATTGAGTACACAGGGCATGCACATATAAGGATAGTAGCAATAAATGATCTATAGTAGATGCCAAGTAAATTATATGAATGATATGACAAATGAATACATTTGAAGAAATACTTGAGTAGGGTGGTATTTAGGCACATAAAATTGGACAGAGTTTATTAGCTATCCATATGTATTTTAAACTCTTTTTTCCCATTAGTTATCTTTCATTTTGTGTTGTAAGGTTCTTTATAAATTATAGATGCAAGAGATTTAACAGCTAAATATTTACAAATATTTTCTACCAGTCCATTGGATTGCTTTTTTAATTTCCTTCATAGTGTCTCTTGAAACATAAAAGATTTAATTCTGATTGTGTCCAATTTATCATTTTTTAAATCACACTCTGGGTATTGTATTTCAGAACTCTTTGACTAAAATCAAGGACACTAAGATTCTTCTCCTATGTAGTCTTCTAAAAGCCTTATCATTTCAGCTCTTATATTTAGATATATTACCCATTTTGAGTTAATTTTATGGATAGTATGAGGTAAAGGTCTAAATTCGTCTTTTTCCATGTGGCTATCCAATTATCTCAGCACCATTTGTTGAAAAGACTATTTTTCACCCATGGAATTGCCTTGGCACCTCCCTTGAAGATCAATTAACCGTAAGTGTTAAGGATCTGCTTCTGGACTCTCGATTCTGTTTTTTTTTTTATTTATATATCTTTTCTTTTTCCAGTTTTACATTATTTTGATTACTGTGTAATTACAGTAAGGTTTGAATTAAAAGTATGAATCCTTCAACTTTGTTATTCTTTTTCAAAGTGATTTTAGAAACAACTTTTCAATTTCTGCAAAAGCATAGCAACTTGCCTGTTTTTATTTTGATAGAGATTACTTTGAACCTGTGCATTAATTTAAGAATTGCTAACTTGTCAATAATGTATATGAATATATATTCCTCCTACATTTATTGAGATCTATTTCATTTATCTCAGCAAAGTTTTATAGCCTTCACTGTGCAGGATTTGCACTTGTATTAAATGCAATCCTAATTTTTTATTTTTCAGGGCTTTGTGAATTTTATTTCTTAAATTTTAAATTTTACATGCTAATGTTTATTTAGTGATATATAGAATTTTTTCTGATTTTTTTACATTTATCTTATGTTATTTGACCTTGATAAAATCATTTATTAAAGAATGTGGATTACTTAGTATATTTCACATGCCCATATTTTTTTTCAAATATAATTCAATTTTTATATTTTTGTAGTTCTAGTGATGAACCCAGAGTCTCCATGCTGAGATACATCTCCAGTGACTTTTTAATTTTGATACAGAATCTTGCTAAGTCAATAAGTCACCCAGACTTAGTTTGAATTTGTAATCCTCCTGACAGCCTCTCAGAGTGCTGGTATTACAGTTAGGGGCCAACATACCTGGCCTACAAGTATAAATTCTTCCTTCCCAGCATGAGTTCTTCTAATTCACTTATAGCTGTTCATTTTAAGGTAGAATAGAAATGATGAAAGAGAACATCTTTGCCTTGTGCCACTATGAAGGGAAAGAATTCAGCCTTTTATTATTACTATATTAACTGTAGATTTTTCATAGCTATTCTTCATCAGTTTTTGTGGAAGGTCCTGTAAATTTTTAGTTTGTTTACAGATTTTAATCCTCACTGAGTATCATATTTTTTCCCAATAATTTTGTCTATTTTGATGATTATGAATTTTTCTCCTTTATTCTACTAATATAATAATTTAATTACTTAGGCAAGTATTCACTTGTGGAATTAATCTTACATGGTTATATAATAGAATTTTCTCATATGTTTGAAGATTTGTATTACAAATACTTTGTTGAGAAATTATGCATGTATATCAAGGGTAAGCAAACTGTTTCACTGTCAGATTATAACATTATTAAGTCATCCAACCAACCAATGTACTTATATATTTTTGGTTTATTTATATTTTTCCTGATTCTTTTTTTTTTCTGTTTTCAAACTTTTCATGTAAGTTTACATAGGTATATTTTATATTTGTATCAAAATACTTCAATATTTATAATTGTTATAAATAGCATTTTTAAAAGTTTCATTCACATGTTAATTGCTGGTATTTAGAGTTATAGGTGACTATTGAATAGTAGTCTTTTGTCCTGTGGTCTTAGTAAAATCATTTATTAAATCCATTTCAAGAGTTTTTGGTAGAATTTTTGGGTTAATCACATCCCAATCAGGTTATGTTATTATTTTACTTTCATTTTTGAAGGGTAGATTTGCTGGATATGTTCTTGGTTTACTTTATCCCCAGAATTTTGCATATTATTCCAACTACCTTCTGAAATTCATCACTGTTGATAAAAAATTAGTTCTCGATTGTGGAATTTGTCCGTGTAAGTGATAAATTATTTCTGTCTTGCTGTTTTCAAGATGTTCTCATTGTCTTTGGCTTTCCACAGCTTGACTGTGATGTTTCTGGTGTGGACTGTTTTTCAGTCTATTTTACCTTGATTTTAGAGCTGCTTGGAGGTATAAATGTATTGTTTGTTTGTTTGTTAGCAGATTTGGAAAGATTTTAGCTATTATTACACTTTTTCCTATTATTTTCTCTATATTTTCCTCTGGTATTCCATTACACTTATATTTATTGTTTCTCTCAGGTCCCTGAGAGGTCCCTCAGATCTCTCAGGTCCCCCCTTTTTTCCCAGAACTAAAAAAAGACTTTATTGAGGGAGAGAGGGTGCAAACTATAAAAATCAAAAGCTTATCTGGCATTTAACTGACTTTCTCTGCTTGTCCAATGAAAGCTGGATGTTATCTGTACATTTGCTAAGGGTCTGCGATGCTCGGGACATCTTCATACGCGGGGAAACCGAGGGGAGATTCCCTAAGTGGCCCTTTGGGAGAACCCTCATCAGGACGGGAGTAAATGCTCGAGTCTGCCTACTTCTTTCCCTTCTGCTTCATGTTTACTACAAAATAATCATTGAACGCAATGGTGAGGCCTGTGATCAGTGAGAAGAAGCTCTGGAAGCCCACTTTGCCATCTCGGCACTCGTCCAGGTCCATCATGATTTTGTCCACAGCCAGAGGGTCATTTTGATTTTCCAAAAACCCAGGGAAGTCCTTTTCCATGAGCACTCGAAGGTCCTCCTTCGTTAAGTAGCTTTTGTACCTGGCAAATTTGTGAAACGTAGACATCATGGTTTCCATGGCGTGTTCCATTTGGGATAGCAGGTTGGCGAAGTGTTTTTTTCTTTTCTTTTTTTCCTGTCTGTTTTGTTTTTCTTTAGTTGGCCTATTCTTTCTTTTACCATCTCAAATCTGCTAATGAGTTTCCTTACACGAGTGAGATTTTCATTTCAGTTATATTTTTTATCTCTAAATGTTTCACTTCATTATTGTAAATAGTTTATATCCCTGATGGTACTTTCTATTTTGATGGATTGCTGTTGTCATCCTTTATTTTATAATGTGATTTTCACTAGTTCTGCTCTTTGAATATATTTACAATAGCTCCTTTGAAATCATTATCTGTTAAACCTAACAATGGTCAGCGACAGTTTTTTTATTGATTTCTTTTTACCGAATACAGTCATATCCCACATTTCTCTGCATGATTTATAGTTTTTTGCTGAAAACTGGACATTTTAGATAATCTAACAACATTGTCTTTAATTTTTCCAAGATTGTTTTTATTACTGCTTGCTTGTTACTGCCTTTATTGTGCTAACTCTTCATATACACTCTCCTTCAGATATTTAAAAAAAATTTTGGTTTTATTTTGAATCCTAGTATCCTGCGGGTGAGGAGTGGATGTTCATACTTTGTGTCAGAGTACCTTAATATTGAGCCATTAATTGGTCAAAGATGCTACCTGGGTATTTGTCCGTCAGATTCTGTCTTTTGCTAGGAGTTTATGTTTGGATAGGGGAAAGCACTCAAGTTCAGCTAATTTACAGACTTGGCCCATCCTTTATTTTCTGCTCTCTGATGTCCCTGTTATGTATGCAGAAGGTCAGTCTCATACCCACTCAGGCACGTGTGGCTGGCGAGGTGCCCGTCCACTACCTCCCAAGTAAGGACTACTCTGACTTTCTAATTCTATGGATTTTCCTGTCTGCTCTGCTAATCTGTTATGAGTCACAATCAGATTAGTTTCAGATTGGCTGTGACATGACTTTCCCTTCTGGTTGCCAACTATGTCCAGAGGCATCTTGCTTTTCCACATTCTGCTTAAAATCAACTTGGCTCCCCCTGGCAGCAAAGCTACTGTTTTTTTTTCAGAGCTAACCCTGTTCTGGTACAGTTATAATTGTAATGGAGCTAGGGCATCTGCAGGCAAAAATACTACAAAATCAGGCTGGGGATTTAGCTCAGTGGTGCTGCCACCTGCCTTGAAAGTGCAAGGACCAGACTTTGATCCCCAGTACAAAAACCAAACAAACCAAAACAACCAAAAATAGGAAATCCCATTGTTTGTATCCAATGCTCAATAGCTTTCCACGAAAAAAAAAACCCAAAACAAGTTTCTAATTTATTGTCATACAATTGTGGTTGATTTTCAAAATTATTTCTTTGAAAATTTTGTCTGAAAGATGGATAATAGGAAATAGGGAGATGGAACATTTGCAAATAGGAAAAGAACCAAGAGATGAAAAGAAGTGGGAAGAAGAGACAAAAAAGGAATTAAGATGTGCTACATACACATATTAACCTCCCATAAGGAATGTAATCGTTATGCACTGCACACATGTGCTAATAAAAAGAAAAAAGAAAAGAAAATTTTACCCAGTATTATCACTGCTTTTTGGTGTTTTGTCATTCTAGAAACCCTGCCTGCTGTCTAAACTGATATGGCTTGTGTCTAGACGTATCCCCAAAGCATTATGTGGCCAGAGATGGGGCTTTTTCAGAGGTGGCTGGATCTAGAGTGTGTGATGTTGGACTTGATTCATGGTGCACTGCTAGATCAAGGGCACTAGGATTAAGGGTGTGAGTGCCGCCTGCTTTAAGTAGCCTGGATGGGATATAAGGGATAGAAAGAGCTGTGGTCATCTTTGTTGCTTGCTTACCTTCTGCTTGCCATCAACTCTTTCTCTGCTGTGATGCCTGTCTACCATGTCCTTGTGCCTTGAAGCCAGCCAATTATGGACTGAAACCTCTAATGAGCTAAATAAACCCTCTTCATTCTAATTATTAGTTTAGGTATTTTGTCTCAGTAACGAGAGAAAAGTAACTAAAATAAGCTTTTAAAGAAATTAAACTATGATAAGACATTGTCTTTATTTACCCACATATTGTACTGTTTTAGCGTTTCTTATTTTTTGTGTAGATCTTGGTTCATATCCAGTGCAAGATTCGTTTAACCTGAAAAACTTTTAACATTCCTCACAATAAAAGTCTGCTTGATGAATTCTCTCAGCTTTTGTATTTTTGAACAAATCTTTAGTTAGTTATGTTTATGAAAGATGTTTTGTTATTGCTGGTTATAAAATTCCAAGCTGACAGTTTTGTTTTTCTTCTCAGTGAGATAAAATTGTTGCTCTATTGTCTTAAGATGTTTGGGATCCTGACAGGAGATCAGAGGACATTCTTATCGATGTTCCCCTAGGTGTTGTGTTCTTTTTTACTCTGGTTGATTTTAATACTTTCAAACTGTTGTTGATTTTCAACAATTTAATTGTGACATGCCTTTTTGTAGTTTTGTCTGTGCTTGTCCTCTCTGGTGTTTGTGGAGCTTCTTTGATCTATAGGTTTACATTTTTATCACATCTGGACCATTTCAGTCACAGTTTGTTCAAGCTTTTTTTTTCCCTGTATGCCCACACCTCTCACCATCCAGTTGTATATTAAAACATCTGATATCGCCCTACATGTTACTGAATCTCCTCCTCTCATTCTTGTCTTCTCTCCAGTTATGTTTGGATATGTTTATTATCAAGTCTTCAGGGTAACGAATCTAATTTAATTAACTAATCTATTTAATTAATCTATTTCATGTATTTAATTTGTTAGTAGATATCTATGATTTTTTTCAGACATATTTTTCAATTTGGAAGTGCTTGTTTTAGAAAATACCTTCCATTTCTCTTTTCATCATCTTAATAATACAACCTTATCCTATTGAGTATATTTACAATTAGCTTTTGAAAGTCCTTGTCTACTGATTCCATTATCTCTGTCATTTTTCAATCCATTTCTATTGACAGTTTTTCTCTTAATAATAAATCTTGTTTTTCTACTATGCCCCACAATTTTTAAATGGATACTTGAAATTATAAATGCTACCTTGCTAAATAGTCATTTTTGTGTTATGCATTGTTGATCTTTGTTCTGGTCAAACATTAATTTACTTTTATTTGTTTTATTTTGTTGAGGCTTATTTTTTGTTTTTTATGGTACATATATATGATACATTAGTCTAGTATTAATTATGCCTACTATTAAGACTTCACCCTTCTGAAATATTTACTGGAAGTTCCTTGTACTACTTACTGTGACCTTCCCTTTCTGGTTGTTGAAAATCTGGTCCTCTGTGAGCTCTCGAAATTACTGGAATTATAGCCCCTTAATTATTATTATCTTTTTCAGAAGTTGTCATTTTTCCCTGTCCTAAGAAATCACTGTCAAGTTGATCCCTCTGTAGATTTGTAGAGCCCTATTTTCATATATCTTTCCTTTCTATGGTACTCTGTCCTATAATGTTTAGCACCATTCCCTTGCATGAATTTGAAACTCTATTTCTCTCTCTCTCTCTCTCTCTCTCTCTCTCTTTTTGTTTCAGTCTTCCAGACTTCGGGTTCCATACCTAGAACCATTGTTAAGAATTGCTCCTAACCTAAAAGCTAGGACTATCATTGGCATGACCTCATTGTTTTTTCCTCTGTCCCGTGTTCACAATCCTTTGACTATTGTCCAATGTATGTAGGATTGCTAAATTTAGCAAATATGAAAAAAAAAGACATCTTGGATTGTGGGTATAGCTCAGTGGTACAGTGATAAAGTGCTTGCAAGGGCCCTGGGTTCGATCCTGAGCACTGAAAATAAAAGTAGGACTGTGTGTGTGTGTGTGTGTGTGTGTGCACGAGTGTGCGTGCATGACACCTAGTAAATCTGAATTTTGGGTGAATAGCAAATAACTTTTAGTATCAGCCTGTCTCAAATATTTTATAGCTCAAACACATTCTAAAGTAGTCTGAAATTCAAATTTAGCTCAGCATCCTGTATTTCATCTGTCAACACTAAATGTATCAAAACCAGTGGTTTCATATAGCTTTTATAGTTTCTAGTTGCTTTCTGTGGGAGGACATTCCTATAGCAGCTACCTGTTCAAAAGTAGAAGCAGATGTCCTAATGTTATTTTTTAATAAATATTATACATTGTGAATCTCACATTTTGGTTTCCTTGAATTCGCTATCTTCTTTAAATTTATTTATCCAGATAAGTAAATTATAACTTAGCTTGATTGCTTTAAAGCTTGTTTTTAAAATCTGGGTGTTTCTAGAGTAGTTCTGAATTCCAGTGTTGATTTGATTCACTATTAGGCTGTGACCCTCATGAAATTTCTAGTGAATGTGATAGTTTTTAACAAATGGCTAGTAAAAGCACTAATATCTCCTGGAAATTATTATATAAAATAAATTATTATATAAATTATTATATCCCTGGAAATTATTGTTCCAGCTCTGGAAATTCTTGAGCTCAAATCTCTAGTAATTTCTCTTTTCTGGCCTCAAGGAGGTTCACCTTATGTGAATTTAGAGGCAGAGGGAGGGAGGTGGGATTAAAAAAGATCGAGATGTGCTATATACATGTATCTTCAACTGGAGATGAATTTAATGTCATAGAATGCAAACATGCACTAATAAAATAAAGAGATACACAGAACAGGGCTCAACCAAAGAATCCTTTGACGGTATAAGGAGCTGTTTATTTGCACATCTTCCTTTTCTCATAATTTTCCCTGCATATTCTAGCCACCTCTGATTTTCCAAACTCCAATATCTGTCTTCTGAACTCAGCAGGGCCACAGTGCCCTGCTTAGAATTCTGCTTCCTAGGCTGTGGTCTAGAAAGTGCCTGCAGGAATAAGGCAGATATGACCAAAGGTCTCCCTGTGTCCACCCTTTCTCTCAGGCACCACAGTCATCTACTTTCATTGTCCAATTCTATATTTGTTTGTTAGTTTTATATTATGTTATATATGTTTGTTAGGTTGTTTATGGGGGAGACGTCTTGTATAATACTGTTTACTTTGTCATGGCCCTAATGTGACATTTTATACCTTTGCTAAGTGAACTGCGTAAGGTTCTTCAGCGCCTTTATATATTCTGCATTTGGTTTTATACGGGCCTCATGCTTATGTTGGTAACTTCATTTGGTTTCTCAGTTGAAAGTGAAATGAGCAAGAACACCATTCTAACGTACGGTAGCATATTATCCTCGGGGCTATATGCTTAAGGCAAGCTAAAATGATAACCCCCCAGGATCCAGCATAGTATCATAACAGGCTAGATGTATAACAACTATTTAATGAACTGAAGAATCATTAATAAACAGCAGTGAATGAGGATGGGAACTGGCTATTGGTTTCCGGTTTGCTGATCACATAATTTAGATATTGCCTTGTGGGTAGTGAAAACTAGTGTAAATAGGAATAAGATGCATTCAATGTAATGCTCTTCAGAATTATGA